TAGTCCTTGACCTTATACTACTTGTGTTTTGACACATATTGAACCTCTGTTGGTTTCCAAGACTGTAAAACTTGTCACAGAAGACTGACTGCCTATTTTTCTCCCTCACAGCAGCTGGTAAATTTGAACTCCACAATTTTCAGTTAACAGTGCAGCACCTAACATACTATACTACCAGAATTTCTAAAGAGATGTCTCCATGGAGTTTACTTTCTACATTCTCTTCTATGTTCCTCATCAAGGTATCTAAGGTTCTTGGTACTTTATTTTGCTGGTGTGCCAAAGTTTATTGAAAATATTACAGCATAGCAGACTCAAATGGCTCCACGTGGTGCTTTGAAAATAATCCCTTCTGTGGGCTGAGTGACCTGCAGGTTGGACAGATTGCCAAAGTCCAAGAGCTACAGCATTTCCTTAGAATCAGGAGGTACTTCAATAATCTCCTGATCCAGAGCTGAAACCTCTGGTACATAATTTTCTCTCCTCCTCCTGCAGCTTAATGGAGATGCCTCTCACAGGCCCTCTCTGAATTTGCTTCATCAGATGTGTGACATGTGTTAACTTGTTCTGGAGCTTCTTGCTGAGAAGATCTCCTCACAAATGCACTTATTCGTGTGGAAGTCATTAATTACCCATGCATGTATAGTATTTCTCAATGACAACGCAGGCCACCTTCTTCATGGTTTTGGTGCGAACGTGGCTCATGTTGGTGGGTTCTTGGTACTTTCTGCTTACCAACTCTGATTAGCATAATGTCATAAATGTAAAACAGACCACCAATGGGTATCAAGGTGTTAATTATGCATATATACATACTATATATATTCTTTGTGTGTGTGTATTATCCTATCACTGACAGCATTGTACATCAGGACAGATATTGACAATGAATATATCTGTCCTCAATTTGTCACTGTCAGTTACTGTTAGGTGCCATGGAGCTAATTGTCACTCATAGCAATACAACAAATGGGCTGAAACTGTCCTATACTATGTGGAGCCCACTGTTACTGGCTCTGTCAAATCATCTTAAGGGTCTTCATCTTTTACTGACCCTTTCCACACATTATGTCTTTATACAAGGATTAATCCCTCTTTTTTTTTTTTTTTTTTACTAATCCCTCTTAATAACATTCCCAAAGAGAGATGTTGTTTCACTGTCCTTACCTTTAAGGAGCACCCTCATTGCACTTCCCCTTCACCAACACAATTCAGAGACATTCATCCTTCAGTCATTTTAATTCAACTTTCAGATGCATAAATAGTTTAAAATATTATAGCTTGGACCAGACTTACCTGTGTATAAATTGATTTTTGTTCTTTAGCACTTTGGAGAAATCTTTGACAGTAGACTTTCCCAGTGCAGCATGCCTTTTGATTTCTTGACTGCTCAACCATTTAATTATCCAATTCAAAATGGTCAATAGTGGTCTACTGCAGCTCAGAAATGCCTAGCATACTGATCTTTATGCATTGCATTGTTGTGGGGTTTTGTTTTTTACAATTTCAAATTTTCCTCTTCCTCTTTACATTCTATATTGTAATTATCTTTTTAAAAGCATTTGTTTACATATAATTATTCATACATTGTTTCATTCATGTACCTTGTTTTATCCAATTACCCATACTGTTCCATATAATTACTATTCATAATGCCTTTTATCACCCTGCCTCCTCAGTCCCCACTGCAATTAACGGTACTTTGCAGCTGATTATTTTTCTAATGATGAACATTTCCTGCTTACGTATGTGTCCCATGTATGAATCTCATTTTATCATGACTCACACTTTTTGACATGCTGTTGGATTCTACTGCTAGGATTTTTGTTGAGAGTTTTTATTGTCTATGTTTTTTAGATAAACAGATGATGACTTCCACCATATACCAGTATCTGGCAAGTGGGACAACAAACCTGGAGAAACACTGTAATTACTGCACTTATGTAGGTAGTAATGTCCGTTGGAGCTAGAATTTGTGTTTTGAGGTACAAATCAGCAATCCTTGGCATTAATTAGATAACTGACTGATTGGTAAAAAAGATTGTCTTTTCCTTTGTACTTCTCATAAGCAACAGAAACACTGTGTATGAATGACAGGGCCAAAGTGAAACTGCAGCACCTTACCAGAACTATACCAGTTCTTTAGCTGTTCTAATAGCAAAAAAATTAGAATAATGAATAGGTGAATCAGATGAATAATGAACACCTTGATACTCCATAGACCACCACACTGGTGATCTGTTTTTACATTTATGACATTATGCTAATCAGACTTGGTAAGCAAGAATTACCAAGAACGTTAGATACCTTGATGAGGAACGTAGAAGAAAATGTAGACGGTGAACTCTATGGAGACATCTCTTAAGAAGTTCTGGTAGTATAGTATGTTAGGTGCTGCACTGTTAACTGAAAATTGTGGAGTTCAAATTTACCAGTTGCTCTAAAGGAGAAAAGATGGGCAGTCAGTCTTCTTCTGTAACAAGACTTACAGTCCTGGAAACCAACAGAAGTTTAATATGAGTCAAAACAGACAAGAAATTGAGTAATGTAAAACTATAGAGCCAGCATCTGTTTAATTACAAAAAGCTTCTTTTTCCTTTTAAAAGTAAAACTCTTTTAAATTATTTATATATTAATTTTTCAAAACATAATATTGGGTCTGCTCTGTACTATTTAGCTAGTACCTATACACATTTACAAACGGGGGGGAAAATGGTCAGTACAGAGATTTAAATTAGTTTTCCAGGAACGAAACTTTTTTATTAATTTTTAAATTGATAATAAAGTTTGAGTAAAAGCTATGAACCACAAACCACTTATTTCTTAAATATGAAAAAAAAACCCAAGTTTAGATTATTACTAATATCTTAAAATGTATCTTCACACAGTTGAAATTTTAGTATAAACGTGTACCTCAAGTCCATTTCCATTATTTATTCCATTTTAAAATATATACAACTATTATGTTTAAATATTTGCTGAGTCATATATCGAAAAGCAAATATTTGAAAAATATAACCTGTTGCAACAAATGAAAAGGATTAAAATAAGAAGAGCTACAAATTATAATAGGAGGAAGAAAATGAACATGTTTTCATTAACAGTTATGCCCCAATGGTTATGTATTTCCTAATTTATATATATAGAGTTGAATATAGTCATTAAAACTTAATCTGTTTTAGATCAACTAGATTAAGTCCACACTATTTATAATAGGTAACAGTGGAAACTTAAAAAAATTCTAATGTATTTCAATAGTCCATTAAAAATTTTGTGGTTAATAGTGTAGTACATGAAGTTTTCAGAGACGCAGATTAAATGACTATAATATCTATACCAAACTGGACATATTGATACTTATTTATAATTCAGTATCAGTATCTGAATACAACAGGATAATAAGAAAATGACATTTTGTATATACCCATGCTTAACAATCATGTCAACATTAATGCTTTTAAACTTCCAAATCTATAGATAGAGGGGTATTTTAGAAGCTACTTGACAACTTCAATGCAAGAAATCAATTAGATAACCTGTAAAATCTTAAACTGGAGATCGTAATCCATTGATAGATACTGGTTAAAAGTTCTTAGAATTAAATATTTTTAATTCTAACTTTTACTACACTGTGGCACCTGAAATTAGCAAGCATGACAACCTCAATTAATTTTCCTCTGACAACCTCAGTTAACTTTGCTTCTGCATGCAGAAATGTATACATGCACTTTTAAGATAATTTAGAATTAAGATTTAATTCCTAGTCAGTAGTGGTTAAGTGATCAGAATTGCTATGTAATCAACAATATATAGTATCACACAGGAGTGGAATCCACTTCCTAAACAACATGCCTCTGGAAACTCTTATGAACTTTGATAATTGATAGTTATAGAAAATCTTCAGGCCTTTATAGGGTTGCTATGAGTCGTGCTTAACTCAAAGGCAATCAACAACAATAACATCCAAATCATTAAAGCATCACAATCTTAATCAGTGTTCTCCAAGGATGATGTCCATCTCCAAGAACTGGCTCTGCCTGACATCATGCTTCGAAGGGTAGAAGGTGAGTGCAAGAGAGGAAGACCTTGGATGAGATGGACTGACACAGTAATGGAATCATGTATGTTAGAGATGGTGAGGTTGGCTCAGGATAGGGTAAGGTACAGAGTCAATGTTCACAACAATTCAGTATTTATCACCTTTAGGTGAAGGAATAAGGCATGGCAGCAAAGTAACTCCAAGTTGCTGTTTTTGGGTTTTTTTTAAAACAAACAGTAAAAGGCTTTAAAAATGTACACAATTTAGTATCACCTTGCATTCTATTCCAGAATACTTGGAAACTAAATCTTATTTCCATTTATTCACTTTATACAAGATACCCAGTCTAAACCTTATAGTGTATAGAACATGCGTTATTTAATACTCATTAAATGCATGTACAATCAACGAAGATTATCAAGCAAGAAATAAACACATACAAGCATTTCAGATTTTTAAATAATTTTATGGCTACTAACCAGATTATAGAACTCTCATGTGCGGTGGGGGACATCATAAATTTTAACTTCTCAGTGCATCACACCGATTAGGATAACAAGTATGGTATTTGATAGTCAATTGAAGCTGGGACTCTCAAAGACATTAAAGCCACAAAAAGGTAAGGATGAGTCAATTGTCAAGTAAATGAAACAGAACACTTTATTTCTTTGTAAAAGTCCTAAAACATATTATGTGTAAATAATTCACCATAATTTATCCATTCCATTTGCTCCCACTCTAGTGTCTTATTCTGTAATATTTTTCCTGTTTTAAGTGTGATTTTTAAGGCCTGTATAAGCTATATTGTTAGAGACATACTGTTACTGTGTGCTAAGAATGCCTTTATTAAAAAAAAAAAACCCATCTTGTTATATATCAGAAAAAAAACCTCCAAAAACCTTCTGACATTGCTAAACTAATGAGAAATAAATTATACCATGACATCATCAATTAAAAATTACAATATTAACTAATCTTTCCAGGTAGGATTTTTTTTCTTCTTTCCTAAAAAATTAAACAGTGCAGAACAGGGTTTTAACTATAGCTAGTGACACTGGGTTTTCTTAAAACACAAAACTTTATTCACTATAAACAATTAAAGGGCAATTTTCTTCCTCCAAAATATATTTATGGACTGCAAATCTTAAAGTTTTAAAAATATTAACCACCTATAAGAAAAAGTACATTTAAACGGTTAAAAGTAATCAAAATACCAAAGTTTACTGTGTGAAGAGTAGATATAAACAACCAAGAAGAGTAGATCATTGGTGTTGAATTTTTAACATGAATAGCCCAAAATAAGTTCCAAAGTTTTTTCACCTTTACAAATGAGAAAAGAAAAAAATGTGTCCTTTCCACAGTTGGGGATAAGCATTGTATGTTCCCCTCAATAACTATATGAGTAAGATTTTAAAAATGTTGCCAATGTTAAGTTCATCAGCATCTAAAATCAATTAGAGAACAGCAATATTACAGTGGCAATAGTGCATTAATTCTCAAAACGTAGTTATGAAGTAGTTATGATCCAACACGTGTTGTAGTGGTTCTTTTATCTGAGAAAAAGCTTTTCAGAAGAAACACCTGCCCTATGCTAACCACCAGAAGAATAAGAGCTTCTCCCACTGACCAATAGGCTACTCTTGTATTTAGATCCTCTGCTCGGCTTCGGCCTTGAGCTTCTCTTAATCGGAAATGAGTCTGATAGTCGATGACAGATTTCAGAGCTTCATGAATTGAAACACAGGCAGATTCCATCTAAAGAAAAACAGTTTCAGTTAACTTCTTTCTGTATAGTCAATCTAGCAAATTGAATTTAAATATTTTTCTTTAAATATGATTAGATTTACTTATCTGATTAACATTCTACTAAACTGACAATGACTTTCAATTTTATCCCAATTATTCATTTGACTAACATTCTACAAAGCAGACATTTATTCATTCATTCACTCATACACTAGTTGTCCTGGTAGTAAGGCCTTGGCAGTTAACATATTCATCTGCTAACCAAAAGGTGGAAGTTTGAGTTCACCAAGAGGTAACTTGAAGATAGGACTGACAATCTAAATCCGAAAATTTTGCCACTGAAAACTCTGGAGCATGCAGTTCTACTCTGACGTTATGGAGTGGTCAGAAGTTGAAACAGACTATAAGCAACTAACAAGGGAGCACAGGTGCTCTAGTGGTAAAATGCTCAGCTCCATTTGGGAGACCTAGACATTCTTATTCCTGGTCAATGCATCATATGGTTTGAAATATGCAACCTACATCTCTACTACTAAGTTTATAATACTACTTGGGAATGGGCTATTAGGTTAATGAGGAGACAATACCATTTAGTCAGTGTACATCTAGTCAATGGGCTATTAGGTTATTGAGGCGACAGTACCATTTAGTCAGTGTACATCTAGTCAATCTGATATGTAAGAAATTAAAGAAGCAAGCTTAGAAGTACAGATAGGGGGGGAAAGATGCCAAACTACATGAAGACTACCTAGGAGCAGATCAGAAGAAGTAAGACAAAGACCTTCATTCCTGAATTTGGACTTCTAGCCAAATAGAAGCGAGATAATAAATATGTTTACTAAAAGCATTCACTTAGGACACTTTCCTTTTAGCAGTATGGATAACTAAGACAATACCTCAGGCAGTGTCATAACTCATAATAGTCTATCAGTGGAGGCTTGCATGTTGCTATAATGCTGAAGAGCAAAGTTTCCATCCTAAAACAGACTAAGAAGAAAAGCCCAGACGATTAAAACTCTATGAATCACAATACTCCAATCCATGACTGCTCATGGGGATGCTGTTGTACTGGGCAGCATTCTGCTTCATTGTGTATGGTCAACAATCTAGAGGATAGTTGAAAAGCAGCTAATAACAAAGTTGCTAGCTATAAAACTCCAAAATAAGGGTCTTAAAAAAAAATAAAAATGAAGAGGATGAGAACAGGCAGGTCAGTAAGTTAAATCAGTAGTAAATACATAAATCAAAGTATAAAGATCTATTTTTAAGTCAACAAATACAGTATAAAAATAGACTGAGTTAAACATTTTTAAAACAAAGGTTACAAAATTCACAACTAACTTCTGAATCTTCAAGTACAGGTAAGAGTGTCTTTTACTTTTTTTTGTATTTATCAAGTTCCTAAACGAGTGTTCTATTTCATGCCAGTCAACTAAATCAATACATAATATATATATTCCTGAAAGGACGTAATTTCCATTTCACTGTGTAGTCAAGTACTGTTATCACTTTCCTTTTTTCTTCTCCCCCTGCCATCTATTTGCTGAAATAAAGTTTGTGCTAATGCTGCATAGTGCCACTGTTGTAAAGCGGGACTGACATCGGAGTTGGGGGGAAACTAAGAGGGGATAAATAATGTATACTGCAATGAAACAGATGAGGGAGAGAACTGTTTAGGAGAAATATATGATTAGGTATTATTGTCATGACATGAGTCCAGAATGAAAGCTCAATAGTGGAATGAACTGGGAGAGGAGGGACTATATAACAATGAAAGAATTTTTTTTTTTTTTTTTTTACTTTTCAAAGAGAAAAGTGAACTGAGGGGAGCTAGGACAGGGAGGAAAGTGTGCAACAAGTAATGAATGGAAATCAAAGTCTCCGTAAACTTTCATTAAAATAAATAAATTTTAAAGAGTTTTAAAAAAAGTTGTCTGTCCTTTAGAATCTGCCACTCTGTGATCTTGCTGGTGGCACTCTCAACAGTGTTCCTCCACCACTGTTATTTTTTTAGCTCAAAGGATTTGACATGATTCAAGCTTAATGTTCTAGGTAATGTTGTGTACTTATTACTCCATCTTAGGAGACTTTATCTTTTATGATGGCCATCTTTCCTTTTGTGAACGATCAATACATTTAGAGGGTATCGTTCTGATCTATGTAAAACACATTTTCCCATCACTCTAATGATTTTAATAGTGATTGATGATCACTGTTGAGTCTAGGGATACCCTTTTACAAATGTTTAAATACTTGTAGTATTAAAATGTCATCACTGGGTTTTATTATTCTTTTAAATTTTAAAGTAGGAACAGCTCATAAATATACCTACTGTGTGATTCTTACTAGCTTTTAGAAAGTAAGAGTAAGAAAGGATAAAAAATATAGCAAATAATGGAGATATCTATATGCTGTGCAAATAATTTAAGAGGCTGGACTTTAAGAAGACTGTATGGCATCAAGATGAGAGGAAGGCTCATCAACGATCTGTGTTATGCTGATGACACAACTTTGCTTGCCTAAAACAAAGAGGACTTTAAGCATTTGCTGCATAAGATCAAAGACTAAAAAGTCTTTAATGTGGAATACATCGAAACATCAAGAAGACAAAAATCCTCAGCACTAGGTAGAAAGGAAGCATGACGACAGATGGAGAGGAGAATAAAGTTGTCAGTAACTTTACCTTGTCTGGCCATCAAGAACCTCTAAGGTGGTAAGGAAAAACCATGTTAGTTTAAAGACTAAGGTGCATGTGGTATAGGGAGCTATGGTTGAAAATGACTTTCTTAGGCTATTGTCCTTGACTGTGATTAGGGCTAGAAACCTGCAAATGTTGTTGTTTACTTCAAGTGGGAACTAACTCATAGCTGATCCTCCAGTGGGTTCTCAGAAGTAGTCAGCTACATGGGAGGAGACTGTGCATCTTTGTCCTGTGGAGCAGCTGGTAGATTCGAACTGCATATATCTGCATTGACAATGTTAATTTGTTACCACTAAGCCACTAGAGCTCGCACAAATTAGTCTATCCACAAGAGGACTGGTTAGTTTCATCATTCTACCAGGTTTAAAGTGAACTGGGTCAGTGGCAAAAATATAGAAATCTCACTACCACAAGAAAGCAACAGAGAATGTAGCACACGTCCTCTGGGGCTAGAGATTCCTACACCAGTCACCAGGGCTTACAGGAGAACAGTAACAGCACCACAGCGGAGAACCAAAAACCCAATATGACACAAAGAAGACTCGGGACTGCTGCCCACAAGGTCAGAGGCCTTCGTCCATTTTCGCTGGAGGACTAGGGTGTGGGAAGAAATGCTATATCTGGCAGGACTGAGAACTTCGTAATACTAGCCTAAACCCGCAAGTTAAAAGTTGAAGGGTCAATTAGCAAGCTTCAAAACCTGGCCTGAGAAACTGTATCCTGTCGCCAACCTGAGTTGTAACCTGCTAAGTTACCCAATAAACCACATAAATCTGAGTATAGTTCTGTGAGGTCTGGTAGTGATTGCAATGGATTTCATACTCAGTACAACGATGGATTGCTGTTGGAACTAGCAGGAGGAGGTGTGTGAGCACGGGTGTGTGTGTGGGTGGTGGTGGTGGGGTAATCTCGGACCTCATGAGAACTGCAGATGCTGATGATAGGCACAGTTCTCCTTAGTGGAGTTAATGGTGGTCAAACTCACATGCTTCCTTTGCTCGTTTTACACTGCACCTGATCCAAACCAAGGTATTTTTCACATGAATCAGAAAGTTAGACAAAGACTAAGGAAAACCAAAGAAGAACTGATGCTTCTGAATTGTAGTGCTGGCAAAGAGTACTGACTGAGAGTACATAAATGGCCAAAAACACCTCCTAATCTGTCTTGGAAGAAATGCAATTAGGCTGTGCTCTTCAAGGCAAAGATAGTGGGTGTAACTGTCAAGAGGAACTGGTCTTCAGAAAAAGACATCATGGTAGGAAAGGTAGAGGGCCAGCAAAAGACAGGAAGGCCCTAAACGAGATGCACCAAAGTAATGACTAACAATAGGCTCAAGCATGGTAGAGATGATGAGGATGTCGTAGGACAGGGCAAGTATTAGTTCTCTTGTCCATAAGTAAGTTGCAATCAACTTGATAGCATCTAAGAATAACAAGTGACACTAAATACTTTACTATCATTCATTCCTATATTTACCCACTTAGGTCTTTGGAACAAACCATTCTAACACATATGGAGTAATGTATGATGATGGAACTGACTGACTTGGTTTTTTTCTTATTATGCAAGTCAAAATTCATGAAGGAATCAACTCAACAACTCATTTCTGTTGGGCCAGAACTGACTCAGCTGACCCCACAGCAGGATTTTGGAGGGTATAAACTGCACAGGGGGAGACTGCCCATCTTTCTCCTGAGAAGCAGCTGGTAGATTCAAACCATGAGAGAGGTACAGCCTTTGAGTTAGCAGTGCGCTTCACTCCCTTAGGACTATGACACCAGATGGGCAGAGAGAAACTCTCTTACAAAGCAGGCTTCTCACAGAATATTCCACAAAGAATATTTCTAAAAATAAGAACACCTTCTTACTCACTTTCTTCAGAGTGACAATAGGTCTAAGAATCAGGCTCTTATGCAATTTTAAACCTACATTACCACATGATTTTGCCAAACAGACTAAAGGGAATTTGGAAATAATAAAATAGCAGTTTAAGGTTTTAAGAAGTAGACAGTCCTTCTGATGTCTTACAGATTCTTTCAAATACAGTTCATTTGTATTTGAACTAGAAATAAAATAATGCTTCTCATCATCTGAGCACTGTTTACCGATTTTAAATTTCCTTCACCAATGTTCTCTTAAGACCTTCTCCAGAATAAGATCTCCCAGGTCAGAAGAAAGCACTGTTAATGCTACAGAATGTCCCAGATGACAAGCAGCAACAGCAGGAGCAGTAGCAGCAGCAAGTGTGGCAGAGAAATGGTAACAGCAGAACCAAGATGCTAATGCAAGACAGTGGGCAAGTTCCTGGTCCACAGGAGGACGCAGCTACAGTGGATCTACAGGGTGAGAGAGGAATGCTTTGGGCAGGAGAACTGCTCCAAGGGTGGACTGTTTCTAGGCACTTAACTGGAGGAGCTAAAGAGCTCTGTAATAATTGCCCAAACATAGCAGAAGCCTGCCAACAGACACCTGTTCTAAGAGGAAACCTGTCCTAAGGCACATGCTTGGCAGGAAGAACGGCCTGCTTACTTCCACAGTCAACTTGAGTGAGCTGTCATACAATGAAGAGAGGAGGGGATATACTCTCCACTTTGTTGGAACATTCCAATCACTGTTTTTATTTCTTTAATAAGCTACCACAGTAAATACAGTTACAAGCTCTGTGTAGCCATTATAACAAATGACCAAACTCAACAGAGAAGTAGAGGGTGATTAAGAGGCATGGATGGTGTCAGCACAGCTAAAAGAACGAACTGTGAAAATACGTCTAAATTCCGTATAAGAGTCAGCCTTGGGAAGATGAAGATGCTGACTTCCACCCACCCCCGCTAGCCCCCCTGAGGAGAGAGATCTGATGCTATCACACCATTTTCACATTAAAAAAACCCTCAAACTCACTTCTGTCTAGTCAGAACTCACCCCTGGACCTTGCATGACAGGTAACTGCCCTTCTTTTTCCTAAGGAGCAGCTGAGGAATTCAAACCACCCAGCTTAAGGCTGGCAGTGCAAATCCTTACTCACTAGAGCTCCGATGAGGATAGCCATACTTCCTGATGATCTTATAGAAAAAGTTTTACAAGTCTCAAGCTCTTACTGGTTAACCCTTCCTAAATCTCCTTTTCCAGCTGATTTATCTACATTAGTTAAGCTTAAACATTAATTAGTGTCCTATTTTAAGACATCTTAATTTCTTTATATTTACAAGCTTATAAAGTTAGTTTTATAACTTTAGTTATAAACTATGTTTTGCTTTTCACTAAGAAAATCTGAAGTTTTCTATGAAATGCTTAATCTAAGAATTAAAATAGTTTTTCAAGTTTGTTGACATGCTAAAATTCCATGCTTATCAATAAGTTACTGCAGAATATTAAATTATACTCTTTTCTTTAAGCACTCCCAACATTATTTTGCTGACTTCATATTTACCTGAGTAAGAGCACTAACTCGGTTCTCACTAGGAAACAAAGGTGGATCCTCTCCAACTTGAAAATCAAAATACACAGTTTTATGTGTGAAAGTAGAAAATTCATTGCTGAAACAAAATTTGTATGCCCCGTTTTTGGAGGCTGTGAAAGTAAAACTATCATATTGTTTCTTCATCTCCTTGTACAGCACGTTACCATCAGGATCTTCTAACCGGCAATCTACATCATAGTGACCTCCAGTAATCACCTACAGAAAGACAGGCAAAAATGGAGAGCACTGTATTAACAAGTGAAAAAAAATAGGGTTCTAGCTGAAAGGACAATATAAAGTTATAGGCAAAGGACTTTTTACTCTCACAGGCAATTATACATATTTTCATTTTCAACAATGGAAAGAACATGGGAAGCAGATTTTATTCTCCTACAGTTTTATACAAGCTGAGCAGATGTCCTCATTACAGAAAGGAGAAACTGTAACTGATCATTAAATCAACTGTGTAAGTGTAGCACAGTTAATTTTATCTCTTAATTCTCTCAATGGCCCTACAACAAAGTTTTTTCTTCTTCATTTGAAGGACTGAGAAACTGCAGTTAAAATAAAGTAAGTTTCCTCAGCTTATTTATCTGGTTTACGAGTCAGAACTTGAGCTCTTCTCCTCCCCGTTTTGGTTTTATCTTTTTAAAAATTATTTATATTGGTTTGCATACAAAATTTATATACATTGTTTTATATTCTCTTTCATTCATACTGTTTTTCATACAATAATTTTCACTCAGTATTTAAAAAAAAAAATCAATCACCACTGAACTATGCCCACTGTCTTTTACTATTACCCTGTCTTTCCAAATTCCTACTGGATCGTTCAAATTTCCTTTACCCCCTCCCTCCATCTCAAAGTCATACTCTCAACAGCTAAGTTTGCTGACATAGTATTTCCCTTTCAAAATTTTTCCCAACTAGGTTTCTGTTAGCACCATCCAAGCCCGGTCACAAGGCAGAGGGAATACACCCTCCACACACCCCCCCACAAAAAAATAGACACAGGCCTATGCTCTCCTTAGAGAAGATAGAAGGGTGTCGTTTCCTATTGTGGAATTGCAATTAATATTATGAAACAAAACGTGTATGAACTGTTAAACGGAAAATCCATTTTCTCTGTAAACTTTCACCTAAATTATTATCTCTCCTCTCATGCTGTAGAGTCATATGGACTCCTAGCTGACACTCCAGCAGGCTTCCAGAGGCTGTAGATCTTGGGAAGAGTTTGCCCATCTTTTCCCAGAGCTTCTGGAGCAAACTGCTGAGGCGCTGCCATCAGATGAGCAGCTCAACTTCTTATAGACTATGCCACCAGAGTTCTCCAGACCAACAACAGGTCCCTGTTAATCTGTTTAATAAATAGCAGCAACATGAGGCAGAGCCTTAGCAAACATGGATTACAAACTCAAAGGCCTACCACTCCTACCCTGTACAGAAGGATACAAAGACTGGGGAGAGGGGAATCTTTGATCAAAATGTTTACTAAAGGTAGCTAGGCACTATTTCATTCCTCTGCTCTCATAGCAAAGGTGGTAGCTGTTTATGGACACAATCAGCCATACATCACCACATCTTCCTCCTACTTTTGATTTTCCTTCTTTCTCTATTGTTTCAGGCAAATACAGAAGACTTTTTGTGCCTTAGATGGCTGCTCAGCAGCTTTTAAGGCCCTAGGTACTACACACTGAACTATAAAAGGTGGAAGAAATGTATTAAACATATTGTTGTCATGTGCTATCGAGTCGCTTGCGACTCATAGCAACCCTATGTACAAGGGCCTTAAATGCCATTCTACGCTGTGCCAACCTCTCTGTCTCAAACACACTCATTCTCACCAACCCAATAACAGAATCGATCCATCTCATCGAGGGTCTTCCTCTCCTGCGCCGTCCCTCCACTCTCCCAAACATGATGTCCCTCTCCAAAGACCAGTCCTCCTTGCAACATGCCCAAAGTATGTCAGACAAAGCTTCAGAATCTTTGACTCCATGGAGTATTCCAGCTTCGCTCTCTCCAGGACAAACCTGTTTGTTTTCCTAGCAATCCATGGTATAATCAACACTCTTCTAAAGCACCACAGCTCAAAGGCATCAATTCTCTTTCTAGCGTCCCTAGTCACTGTCCAACTCTCCCATGCACAGCACGTAACTGCAAAGACTACAGCCTGGATCAGGCGCACCTTAGTCTCCAGCCTGACGTCATTGCTCTTCAGTACTGTAGAGAGGTCCCTCACAGCTGACTTTCCCAATGCAATTCATCTCCTGATTTCCTGGCTGCTGTTACCAAGAGTGTTGACTGTGGAGTCAGTTAAACTAAAACTGTTAACTATCTCGATCTCTTCACCATCCATACTGCTAATGCCAATTGGCCCAGTGGTAAGAATCTTTGTTTTCTTGATGTTGAGCTTCAATCCACATTGAAGGCTGCAGTCCTTGACTTTCTTCAGCAAGTGCTTCAGGTCCTCCTCGGTTTCAGCAAGCAGGGTTGTGTCATCTGCATAACACAGGTTGTTGATGACTCTTCCACCAATTCTGATGTAATTAATGGAAATATCTCCCCCCAAAGAGTGCTGGTAGCACAGGTGTTAATCACTTGGCTAGTGGCTACTAACTGAAAGGTTAGGTCAAATAACCAGCTGCTCTTCAGAGGCAAAGTGAAATGATCTGCCTCCATAAAGATTTACAGTCTTTGCAACACTATTGGGGCAGGTCAACTTTGTCTGACAGGGTCAGTGTAAGTAGCAAATGACCAGAGCAGTGGGTTTGGTTTGGCTGGATAGCCTCATGAAACCATAACCCTAAATCTCCAAGCCAAGAAACTAAATCTCATGAGGCGTTCAGTTGCACAGAAGCAACTTCAACACACGCAATTTTATCTTTTGTTTTAAATCACTGCTGTAAATACATTTATATCACAGTGTTTGTCAATTCAATTTTTTTAAGAAGTGTAAAACACTGACAGCAGTAATCTTAAATGCTTTTTTGACAGTATGCTCTATGGAATTTGCTATTTTGTTTTGCGGGCTTTTAAAAGTGTATTATTACAACTTTGTTTATAAGAAGACTATAACTGTTTAAACTACACTTCCTAAAAGCAATATTTAAAGTAAAAGACAAAAGCAAGTAGGTCTTTTGTTTATCGGAAAAGCATATATTAAAGCAAGTATTTATGAGGCTGTTTAGCTCTGTCCTACAGAGTTACTGACTTAATAGCCACAGGTTTAGTTTTTACTTATGCATAATCAGGCATATTTTGAACAGGTTGTTTGCACAAATGGGAGAGAAAAAAAGGAGAGGAGATTAACAATAAGGACTTCCTTAGATGAGAAAAGTATTGAGTAGGAATAAAAAAGAAAGGAGAGTAAGCTTATCAAACTGAGAAAGAAGTGTGAAGGAAAGCCACTGAGAATGATGGCACAAGTTTGTATTTTCAAGATTGGTTGCACCGACCTTGATCGGTGTAAGAGAGATAAAGCTTTATATTCCAAAAGATGATTCACCATTTGTGTGACCTTTTGCAACTTAAAAAGATATGGAAAGTGAAATTGTGTTTCAAGGAAATTTTAAATAAATCGAAATTATGCATTTGGGAACAAAACATATAAACAGAGATGTAATTTCCCCCCCTCCCCAAAATACAACATATACAATCAACTGGGCCTTATCTTTTCCTCCAATCATCGGCTGGCTTTTCCCTCATATGAAAATTATGAGTTCATTTTTATATATGCAATTTTTAAAACAATTTTAAAATGTCTTTTCTATCGTGATTTGGGTGAAAATTTATAGAGCGAACCAGTTTTCCATTAAACAATTTCATATATTTTGTAACCCACAACTACAACTAAAAAAGCAGTATTGTTTCCAATATTCAACCAGAAGACAAAATACTTAGGAATAAACGTAACTTGAGATACAAAACTTTCTAAGGATTACTACAAAATACTACTACAACAAACAGTAAAACACCTAATGAGATGGAAAAAGTATTCCTTGTTCCTGGATAGGAAGACTCAACATAGTGAAAATGACAATTCTAGCAAAAGCAATCTACAAATTCAATGCAATCCCAGTACAGATATCAAATACAATCTTCCAGGAGATAGAAGAGGTAATTTCCAGATTCACCTGGAAGGAAAAGACCCAGAATAAGCAAAGCTCTTCTAAACAAGAAAAAGTAGTTGGAGACATCTCACTTCCTGATTACAAAAAATACTACACAGCTATAGTAATCAAAGTGTCATGATAATGGTACAACAGAAGACATATACATAGATGAACAGAACAGAATCAAGAATATAGAAATCACTCTACCAACCTATGGTCATCTGACATTTGACAAAGTAATAAAACACATTAAATGGAGAAACAACAGCTTCTTTAACAAATGGTGCTGCTAGCAAAACTGGGTATCTCTCTGCAGAAAATGGAAATAGGATCCACATTTCACACCATACACAAAAACCAACTCAAAGTGGAGCAGACACCTAGGCATAAAACCTAAAACCATAAAGATCATGAGAGACAAAACGGGAACAAAATTACAAGTCCTTGCCTACAGCATAAATAGGCTTGTAAACACATCCAAATTAGCAATAACAGGAGGAGATCAGATCAACAAACAGGACCTCCTTAAAAACAAATCTCTGTGTGCATCAAAAACCTTCTCTAGTAGAGTAAAATGAAAGTCCACAGATTTGGAAAAAAGTATTTGGCAAAACCAAAGTTTACAGAATACTCTAAGAACTAAAATCGGGCTGCTCCTTGGAGGCAAGGATTCTAAGGCTCCGTTTAACGTACTTTGGACATGTTGCAAGGAGGGACAGGTCCTTGGAGAGGGACATCATACTTGGTAGAGTGGAGGGACAGCGCAGAAGGGGAAGGTACCCTATGAGGTGGATTGATTCAGTGACTCGGGTAATTGGGATGGGTGTATCGGAGATGGTGCGATTGGCATAGGACAGAGTAGAGTTTAGGGATGTTGTACATAGGGTCGCTATGAGTCGCAAGAGACTCAACAGCACATAACAATAACAACAACAACAACAACAGGCCTCCACAAGAAAAAGACCAAATCATAAAATGGGCAAAAAAAAACATGCAAAGGCTCTTCAAAAAGGAAAACATTTGGATGGCTAAGAACACGTGAAGAAATGTTCAAGTCACTAGCAATCAGATGCAAAAACAATGATACCACTTCAGTCTAGC